CGGAAAAAAAAAAAAAAAAAAAAAAAGGATTAATTTTTCAAGTGGACTAATCCCGAAAAACAATCAACATACGCTTGGTCGGGCAAAACATTAATAATAAAATAAAAATCTCTAACCTGTTGACAGTTTCTGTATCATTTGACGAAACGGAAAAAGCGCAATTTCGATCGTTGAATACTACGATCGATCAATTCTTCCATGTCGTTCAAAACAACGATTGAAAATAAAAACTAATCGTTAAAAACGCACAATACAGTATAAAAAAATAAAGCCGAATAATAATGTTTCAAACAAATAAAGTAAATTTATCACGGGACACGTGATACTTGACGGTCGGGACGCGCGATCACACTCGTGAAGACGACACACGACCAACGTCCGGATAGCCACTGGCGGGCCGAAGACCCCCGATCACGTCGCCGACCTATACCTGGCCCGCACTCGTGACGTCCGTCGCTCGTAGCCGCCGTGACGGCCAACGCGCGCTAGCTGCCGACCGCGCACGAACGCATACGATGACACCTAGACACGTCGGTTGAACCGGGGGAGAGGTGGGGTTTAGCCCCATTACACCGCCGCCCCCGACGTATTTATCAACAATTTAGGATACGCGTGAATTTACCGACAGCAACAACGCAGTCAGTTAATTTTTCTTTCTTTTATCTTATCTGTATATTATTCTTTTGTGCTTTAACCCAAACGATTTAATAAATACGAATATCGTAATCACCCCGTTGTGGCAATTAGACGTGCCGGTCGACGACGACGGGAAAACACTATCGACGGCCGACGGTGTATTTATATTTGCGTCCTAATTAAAAAGGTTTACCTGATACCGATCAACGAAATATTACAAATTATGTGAGTGCGCGATAATTCCTATATTATTTCTGTACGCGTTTATTGAAACCACAGAAATAACCGAAAAATTGACCGGATTGCAATATGTGAGCAATAAAAAAATTGTCGTTGTCCGACGTTCTGGAAAATTACTCGCTCTCCGTTTTGGATACGGTACGCGGCGTCGTTTACTCCGATTGTATGCAAGTTGACTAGGCGTGTACCTTTGGAAAGAGCGAGAAAACTGCCGTCGAAATTGGAGAAGGACACTGTCGATAAAAACCAATAACCACTTGGGTCGCAGTGAATTACACGGTGCCGGACAACTAAGAAAACGCGTTGCCCCATTATTGTTATCTTAACGATTTTTTTTTATATTCTTTTAATATTTTCCTATATCTTTCAGCCCGTGCGCGCGTTCTTCTTTTATACACGAAAATAATAGTAATATGAATATTATACAAAAATAATAAAAGACGCCGCGCGTTCATACAAAACCGTTACGGAATCGATTATATTGCCGTCCATTATTATTAAGATTGTTATTAAGTATATCTGAGGTAAAAAATAAACTATACAGTAGGTACATTGACTCACGTCTCCTATTTTGGACTCGCACGTACAGAGGTGACGAGGGGGCGACCGTTGGACGCCAGAGGAGGGTGGAAGTACAGGTAAGGATAAAAAAAAATAAAACGACACGTACGTCCTCCACCGTCGGGGACTCGTGCCGCCCACGTGAGGCACGCGTTTTATCTGCGGGCGGCTGCGTTGTCGAGGGGGACAGCAGCCGGGACGAGACGACGTGATAGCACGTGCCCGTCCGGAATTTCTCGTCTATATGCCCTTCGCCACCGCCGCCTCCCACCCGTTACGAGGGTGAAGCGACCAGTTAGTTGTACCTATGCCACCCTCACGGGCAATATGAACACATACGCGCGCGACGGATGTTGTTTAACAAGATACCGACTGTGGCTCGGCGATACTGTGCGACGGTCGTAATGTGATTTATTCGTTTTCAATAAAGCAAACAACAGCGATACACGCCGGTCGGCGCTACTCCGGTCGGTTTTCCGCGACTACCTTTATAATAATTTTACGTGTGTATGTTATGGCTAAACGCTTCGCAGCGGGACGTCCCGTAGTCCTGTTGGCCGGACAATAGACCAACAATGTTGTTATTGTCCGCAATAATGTTGTCGGGGGCGGTTGCCGGCCAAGCACAAGTCGGACGGTAACAAGACCGTTATGTATGACCAAAATCACTGTCCCCTCGCCCGGTGTAATTGTAGAAGTAATTATCTGTTGCCCATGTTTACCGTGTATACATTACAACTGTTCTTTACATAGTTCGCAGTGAAAACGATTTGGATTCGTTCGTTTCGAAAATTACAGAGGAAACAACGAGGTCAACACTCTATACATCTGCCGTCTTTAGATCCTTTACCATAAGTTCCTTTTTATTATTTTTTTTAAATTCATTTCTCGCGATCATAGGGGTTGATGTGACGTGAATGGTTTGTACATAGATCTGTGAATAGTGTTTTTGGACAGCGAATGAGGGCTGCAGATTGCCATGGGCCTCGGATAAAATACATTTTTTTAGGAAGTAAAATTTACGGTAAGCCCAACAAATGATTGCCAATACAATATGTGCATTACAACGAGTATAAATGATTACAATGTGATCATAAGAAGAACACAAGGATTAGCCTCTGTTCTTCACCGTGTAAAACAAGTAAATGTTGAATAATTTTTCAATTAAAAAATATATATAATTATTCGTTTTGCCGTTATTCATGGATCCGTTGAAATTACATTATTGTTGTTATTATTGCATTATGCAGACGTACGTTGCGTTTCTTATCTTTCGACATTACGGCAGAGGCCATCAATAGCTGTGCTTAACGTGCCAAAGGGTGCAGTTAGTGCGCATATAAATTACAGTATTGTAATTTTAACGGTTTCTTTAATGTGAACATCTTCGAGGAAAAAAGATAAAAAAATGTTATCAACGCAACTCGAATGTGTAAAAACGGCTGTGATAAACAAAGTGCTATGAATTTAAAAAGTTGTATGTATTATAATATTGCACGCTGGTCATTGAGGAACTTCATCCGTTAACGATTTTTACTATGGCCGTTCTATCCGGTACACTTATACCGTTAATGTTATTAACCCGCAGTGTGCAATGAGATTTCAATCGATACGAGACAGAATGAGATTAGGGGTTGATCGATGGCAGCTAATATTAATATTCCATTGTGGCGTAGAGCCGTTACAAGCGACAAAATCTTATTTTTGAAGAAAAAAAACATACACTCAGACGCGCAGGCGGCAGGTATGACACGTGCTAAGACCGTTTTTTTGCACATTTCTCCTTCTTTTGGGCAAACCAACAAAAGGCCCACAACAGCTGCGTCTTACGTACAACAATCGATGACGAGCCCCACGTGCGCCGCTGTTTGATCTTATAACAACCCAAAACGAAATTGGATTAGGAATTACGTTTTATATGCAAACACCGTAAACGGCTCTCAATTGTACGAGGCACCCAAATTTTTCCACTCGATTTGATACGACCCAACACACAAGAGTAACGATATCTTCGCGCCAACCCAACGAGTTCAACTAAACTTGATCGGTCAACGAATCTTTTTAAAAATGCAGATTTATTGACATTAATTACAAAAAAAAGGGCTAAAAATTTGAAGGTTGTTTTTAAAGTAATGAACATTTTAGTAAAAGTCTTTTAGAGCAACATGTAACCGTGACTCATTAAACGAAATATTTGGATTTTAAATATATTCTAAAAACATTATTTTAATGAACTTAATGATATATATTTATTTCATAGTAAAAAAATTCACAATACACTTCCTCTTAAAAAAAATTATTAATTCAATCTATAAGAAAAGTTATCAGGGTTAATATACATAATGTGTATATAGATTCATTTAAATTATAAACACATTAAAACTGTACTAACGGTATAAATATTACAATATACTAACGTAGAATACTCTAAATTAAGTTTTATTTTAAACTGTTCAAAATGTCTGAACATATTAGTGTTAATTTATTTTAAACCGTCGAGATCATTTTTTCCTTATTTTCTAATAAATATTGTCATTAATATTTCCTATTATTCATAAGCAAAATAATCAAACGAAATAAAAACTGATTTACATTACGGCACAATGTAGATAAAAATGATAATTTCTGAGAAAAACAAACTTCACTGCGACCGTGTGAATTGGAAATAAATGATTTTTAATTTTTACACGGACTCGTTCGATGAGCCACACTTTTCAATAAAAAAAATGGAATTTGAAAATGTCGTTGTTACATATAAGAACTATTGCCGTTTCTACGAATTATTCGTAGCTAGTAAATTAATTTCAAGTGACTACACACCGTCACGCTAATTGGAGTTTGGCACACGACATGATCGTAAGTATAAGATTGGTAATAATTAATTCGAGGACGACCGTTGGCGAACAAAAACTGATAAGTATATGGTTCGTGTTATTATTAATATGATTATTATTGTGTATTTTTAGTCCTAAGAAACAGCGCCGAATGAGTCTAATAGGCGGTTTTAATCATTTCCGCGATTCGATTCCACAGTTTTTACTTAGTCACTCACGAGGTCGTTGTCTGTAGGTCGTAGTAGTAATAACTGGACAAATCATCTGACATAAACATAATTCGTAGTTTAAACCAATCTGAAATTGTTTTACAGAATCTCCGAGGAGAAACTGATTATCGTTTCTCCTCAGAGATTCTGTAAAATTAGAATAATTCGCACAGTTTGGTACGCAATGGACCAAGTCGACGAAAAATCGAAAGTCGGACGACAAATAAACAGCCAATTAATATTGTTGCATATCTATATATTATGCGATGTTAATTAATTATTTTTTACACGGCGTTCGTTGCACGTTTAAAAAACTTACCGTTTTCAAATTCATTGAAGACATTAAAACCGTTGAATCTTTATGGTCATTAGGTTTTTTATGTGATATTTAATGAGCATGCGGGTTTTTGTGAACGAAATTAGAATAGAATTTAATTTACCTGATTGCGATATCTATAACGGACTGGTACACGCCTATGTTGTTTTCCTGTACACCTTGAAAGGCACTGGTTGCGCAAACGAGAAAATAAAAAAATTACGCGCACAAATACACGTAGTAAAACTCTGTTAGTTATTCGCAACCGTTTTCGGGACTGTGCAACAGGTCGGTCGCCTGTTGCTGACACACTGAGATCCTTTCGGCTGTTCCGCCGACGCCACTTTTGCTATCGGACGGCCCGCCGTTGTGGTGGTGGTGGTGGTGGTGGCGGCGGCGGCGTCGGAGGTGACGGCGGTGGTGGTGGTGGTGGCGGCTGGTTCTTCCCCAAAAACGGGGCGGAGGACGAACGGACGTCCGCTCGCATGCACATAGGTGGTACGTCGATGGAACTAGCGCAGGGATCCCCGTACACCGATGGGCGGAGTCGAAGGTTAACGGATGGCGAGGTTGATGGCCCGCGGGGGTACCGCACAAAGAGGGAACGTTAGGGCTTTTGAGATATGTAAAGCGTA